GGTTCAATCTCTTCTCACCTCTTTAGTGGGATGAAGAGAAATGATCCACAGACCAGCTATACAATATTTCAGAGGCATGTTACGATGCACTTGATACGATGAACTGTTCATGAAGTACATGGAAACCGTAATGCCACTATCCATATCGCATAAATATTTATACTACAATTATGTAAACACAAACCACAGTTTTTAAAATTCTAGGTATGCTTTAGACAACCTATGCTAAGGTTAAAAAAACCCAAACCAGTGCATTGCCTTCTGTAATGAAACGCTATGTAATAGTTTACATTTACTTAAAAAAAAGAACGCATTTTGAAACAGCACAATAGCACAAAGAACACTTTCTTCTTTTTAAAACAGCCCGTTCAATTAGTCTGTGTTCTAGTGTTAATTGATTTCTAACATGGCCAAGCGTGTAAGTGCAACCCAGCGACCCACAGTGCTCTTCACCTCCACCGTGTTAACCCCTCAGCTCACCGCAATCCTCAGGCATTCAGTCAATACCAAAGGGATAAACAATTGACATCCAAAAAAAGGTGGAATCATTTCAGTAAGAACTGGCTGAATTCTGGTTGCTGGGGTGAAAAAGGGCGCGGAGATTGGTCAAATTCATTTTGTATGATTTTAAGATCCTGTTGGGCAAATGCAGGAAGCACAGACATGAAGTTGGTGCCCACAGGAGATAAAGCATAACCTCTGTGAATAAAAATAACCCTTCTTTAGAAAAGCGTCGCCTTCATTTCGTTAAAAAATCTTAACTCGCTGAGCTTCGCCGCCTGAAGCTCAGAGTATTGTCAGCAGCGAGCCCTGACTGCGCTTCACGTACCGGGGTTGGAAGTCAAGAGGTCTGGCTGGGAGAGCGGAAAGCGAGGAGCGCTAGCGGGGTGTCTGGGTTGTGAGTGCACAGCAGAGCCCTTGGGAGCCTCATCTGTAAAAGGTAGCGTGGAGAGGGCGCGTAACGCTACCGAAAAGGGCCGTTTCCATCACGCTGCTGGGAAGCTTCCTTTCTTGTCCCCAAAAGGCACACGCCGGGAGCCAGCTCACCCCCAGGGCTCCCTCATCAGCGAGGGGGGAGCCAAAGCCGGGCAGGGCAGCAGTCTCGGTGATGTTGGTGTCTCTTTTTCTGCAGGTCAGGCCAAGCCCGAAGCTGTTTGGGCACAGCAGAGCTGCAGCCAGTGTGGCAAAGGTGGCCCAGCTCCCTGTTCCTGTGCAGGATCCCAGGATCTGATTCAACCAGACAATCAGGATCACGAAGGAAGAAGAGCGAGCCGTGTGCCGGGCCGGGTGCGTGCCGCCCACCTCAGCACACATCTGCCCACAGTGCCCACCCGCTTACATCCAGTCCCTTCCCTCCCAGCTCAAGCCACCACTGTGTATGGCCCTATTTCTCCCAAACATTCTTCTGACTTGCAACAGTTTGCAACTCAGACCTCTGCTTAAAAGCCTCTGGTGTATTTCTCATACCAGAACTTGTCCAGTTCCTCTTTGGCAACCACAACATCCCGAGGAGATGACTTCCACAGCTCAGCTATTTGCTGCATCAAGAACCACCCTGCCCACGGTCGTCCTGAACCTGCCATTGTGGGCATCCTCTAGCCCAGGACCTGTGCTTGCTCCGAAATGAGGTCTGGAAACTGTCCCCAAATCCTGTCCTGATACGGGCTGATGGCCTCAGTCTCGCCTCGCCACTGATGGTAGTGCCCTTCAGAGCATTCCCTCTGGAGATGGTTTTATAAAACTCCTGCTCCTCAAGACCCTGGTGCAGATCCAGACATCACTGTGAGCAACAGAGAGGGGTTACCTGCCCCTTTTGCCGGCGGACAGCAGGTTCAGTGGTTCTTGGCACCGTCTGAACCCAGCCCCAAATCCTGGGAGGTCACCTCTAGTCTCTGGGATGCTGGGACAGGAGATGTCACCCCAACATGCCCAACACGCAACCCCAAAGATCAAAGTCTTACCAGAACTGGCTGCCTAGAGGCAGGCTGAGGAGGAGGAAGAGGTGAGGAAGCTGAATTCCCAGCAGATGCTCCTTGCCATGCAGTTCTCCAAGAAATCCAAACACAGCTCCACGGCAAGGGAAATGGTCCAACCCCCACGGACGCTGTCGCTTGAAATTGCATATGGCACAAGTTGTACAACACAGCCTTCTCTAAAAGCATCTCTCTTCTGAAATGGGAAAACCAAGGTGCGTGAACTGCAGCAACCCTCCCAAAAAAAGCAGAGGAGGGCTGTTGGGATCCTTCTTTGCAGCGTCCGCTCCCCGAGCAGGTAAGTTAGGTGATTTAATTCTTCAGCCAACTTCTACATGAAAACTTCCCCTGCTCCACAGAGGCTTCCAAAGCTGAGATCCATCCCCCTCATCTTACAAACACACACGGCAACCTCACAAGTTGAGCGTGAAGTGGCAAACGATTTTATTATAGGTAGTAAAAGACATTTTTTTTTTACTCAGTTCCCTCCTGCAGGTTCACCTGCTGATTACGCTTTTAAAGTGCTACATTACACTGTGAAAATACCAGCACTTCACAGCAGAAAACCGAACGTGTGCTTTTCTATCGAGTCTGAAGTGGTGATAAACCAGCTGTTTCACAAGAGCGATTCGACGTGGAAAGGCAAAGCGTACAAAGCCATGGCTAAAAAGGCAGTGGGAAAATACATGAAGAATTTTGCAGGCAAGTAAAGCGTCAGAGAAGAGGGCCTTGGTACGGATGCTGCTGGTTTGGGATCTCACGACGTCCTCCGAATCCTGCAGAAAGCATGCGGAGAAGGCACGTGCCCCCTCACTTTAATGAATTTTGGGGCGGATTCTGCAGTGTGGTTATGCAGGCTTGCATACTCTGCTTTACAAAATGTATTCTGCTTTATTTCGGTGCAATATTGAGTAGTATCCACGAGCCTTTTAAGAAGGTGAAAGGATTTGGGGAGATTTCCTTATCCAGTGCAAATGAAGAGCAGTTCTTAAGTGCTGGCAACTGCAGCTTTCATGGGGAGGTGGCAGGTCTAGAGGCAAAGCCCTCACTGACAAAATTATGAAAGCCGAGGGAAAAAAACAAAACCGGCTTACTGGGAACTGCTGATGGGGAATCCTGGGTTCTTCTCGCTGCTCGCAGGGAGGTTTTGGACAAAGCCACCCTGTTATCTTTAAGTGGGGAGAATGTTCCTCACATTCTGCTCTCCCAGCAGAGGAGGCCAAGCACTGTCCCTTCCTCTGACGGATAATGTGCCAGGCACCGAGCAAGCAACAGACATCTCCAGTTCACCTGGGGAGCAGCCCTGTCAGATCAGAATCAATATACCTCACTATTGCATGTCTTTATTGTCCTTATTGTGCCTCCCCTTGCATTTCTGGGCCATTTCTGGGCAAAGGGAAACTGTTAGGAGGGAGGAGCAGCCGTTCGCCCCTTCACAGGGCTGACGGACCCTTCCTCACCGCAGGCCGAGCTCCAGGCACGACAGCTGAGCTTTGCAGCCAGGCACCGGGGAGCTCATCTCCCTCCTGCTCCCTGGCCGGCAGGAAAGTCATATTTTGGGAAGCCAAATGGCAGGAATCCAGGAGGAATAAGTTATTGGACACAGTAAAGCAGGGAAGCAGCAACAGCCTGGATTAGGAGTGCAGCCCAGCCGTTAGTACCAGGCCACTGCAGTGGTTTAAGGCCCACGGCATCCTGGCGGACTCACCGGATTCAACCTGTGCCAGCCCATGGCACCAGCCTTCTGCTGCGCAAATCACCAAACATTTTGCCCAGTCCTGCCTCCTGCCGCAGCTCCCCTGTTGCCCCCCAGCAAATCAAGGGAGGGTGGGAAACACCCAAAAGTCTGCGCTGGCATCTTTAAGAGCTTAAACAAAAAAAAAAAAACCAAACCTCTAGCTACAATAACTAACTACAAAAAAGTAGTTTTGTTACTTTTGTGCCCCTGTGCTTTTGGCAGGGAGTAGATGAGATGGCAAGTAAACTGCAGCCGCAGCGACGGAAGCGGGCAGCAGGGCTGGGGATCGCTAAGCTCTGCCTAGAGCTAGAAACGCGTGCCAACAGCGACTGAGCAGGGCTGCTTCTGCCCTGAAGGCTGAACAGCTGGGGCTATAAATAGCTGGGGCTATTTATTTGGGTTTGAGGATTTTTATCTTAGAAATCTTGCAGCCCAATCCCCTCACACTCCAAGCTGATCCCTGTGGATAGCAGGGAAATTACAGGCTGCAGTTTTAAACAGGACCTTCAGGATAACCCAGAGCATCTCACCCCCTGGGTGTGGCCTCCCTGCAGCCCGCAGAGTCGATCCTATTTGCGTCCCAGCCTGGACACAAGTTTCCTATATTCCCATCCCATAGCACCAGGTATAGGGAAAGGCGAGAACTACATCCACCCTCCTAGCCAGGCTCAAAAAATACAGCCTGAAGATCAAAGACACCCAATAATCCTGCATGGGACCAAGTCCACTTAATGCTGGCATTGTGTGAAATGTTCCTCTTAAAGCATAATCCCCCTTTCTCTGTCTGGAGGGAGGTGAAATGAGGTTGATACTCAAGAAAGCAGGGGAGAGGCAGCTCTTTCCTGACCCTCAGCTTCATCCCCAGGGTGTCAGTGCTACATAAAAGCAATCCTGGAGCCCGTCCCTGATCCTGAGGACCAGGGGAGGATGCTCCAAAGCAAAGCACCGAAGCAGGACAACATCTCCCGGGAGAGGGGGAAAGCTTGCACGCGGTCTGGCCTGGCACGTTCGCGTGGCGGGAGCATCTCTCGTCTTGAATGAGCGGAAGGCAGCGTGATTTGGTGCCCCAGGGTCCTTGCCTGCACACCCAGCACCGGGGGAAAGGAGGAGCAGAGGCGAGCCAAGGTGCCAGCAGCAGAGCCAGAGACACCCAGTAAGGCAAATTCAATGTGAGGCACCTGGTGAAGGCTGCAGCACAGACCCTCTGGCACCTTTTCAAGCCAAGATGAGCAGAGCCAACAAAAATCAGCTCCACTTTTACAGGACAACTGCAAAACCTCTCCTTGCTGCACTGCCCAGAGGGTCACCCTTTGGACCACCAGGATGTGTTTCCTTGGGGCCTCCTTGGACCAAACAAGGAAGACGTGGAGAATCGCCGCAAGGACTTTCTTTTTTGACTCAACGGACCGCTCCCCAAACAAGACCTTTTCTATGGGTGTAGAAGGAGAAGGCTACAGACAAGAAGATGGTCGGGAAATGGGGGAGAACAGACCCAAACCCAACAGCATCACGCAACCAAGGCCTCTTCCAGAAAAACCTTCCAGAAAGAGATTTAATAGCACCCCTAACCATCCCCCCCATGGCTCTTTAGGCTTAAATGCATTGGCCAAATTCCTGCTACGAAGAGGAATTGCCCAGGCTGAGTGACAGTCGTGGCATCCCATCCCCTCCGGCACCTATTTCTGCAATCGAGCGTACACCAGAAACGCCACAGCTGAAATCAGAGCGATGCCCACAGCTGAAGCGACGTATGGCAGGGACGGTCCATTGCTGTCCCCTGGAGGAACTTTGGGCCGAGACGAGCTGGTTGGAGTACCAGTAGAGTCAAAAATCGGAGAGTTTCCAAAGGGACCAGCTCTGTCTCGGAGGTCACTGCCTGCCTCAAGCTGAGTGCTGGGGTAGTGGTCCACGCGGACCTCGTGGGTGCCCAGGGAGGTGCTGCCCCAGCTCGGAGGCCGACAGGAGTTTCTGCTTGATCCAGCTGTCTCCTCTCCCCCAGGGTCTTCACGAGCCACTGGAGCCGGGCATCCCAAGGAGACTCTGGAGAGCACTTCTCCTGTGCTTGAGCTATCCGTGCTCACCATGAGTGGGTCGCTGCTCAAGGTGAATCTATCGGACGCCATGGGATAGGGGCCGCTGGGCCCCCGAGAGCTCGGGCATCTGCCAGCCACCTCTGGGCTCTCCCCAGTCAGGGAGAGGAGGACGCCCGGCTTGCTGAGCACCACATCCCCCTCCACATTACTGCAAGACTCCCAGATGTTCGTGGAAGAGCCAACGTGGGAGGCTGTCCTCCCAGACGTGCCTTCAAAGCTTCCTGCAGCAGTTGGGAGAGGGTCCACCGAGGCCGGGAGCACCTTTGGGAGACAACGAGAGGGGCTGGGTGCCACGGGGAGCACCCACGTCACACGACAAGCCTGCTTCTGCGTTCAACCACCACATCTCCAGCCACTAACAGGGAGGTTAGGTCACAGATAACTCCCAGGGATGGGGGAGCGAGCAGGGCAGGGAGGTGTCAGGGCTCCGGGGAGCCTTTGGGATTTGGGGGAGACATGGGAATGAAGGACGGGGAGACAAGCAGCAAGGAGAGGGGTGGAAACGGGCACATGGAGGCCAGGAGCCTGACTGGCAAGTCAAAGCGAGGGAAATAAGGGGTCAGAGCCCAACAAACCTTGTTTTCCTTCTCCCATGCTCCAGAATACAGCATCCGGATGGAAACATGAACACAGTGAGGAAAAAAGCCCTGAATAAACTCACCACTAGCTCAAAATCTTACACTGCAGCAGAAAATCTCCTGACCAGGGGGAGTTTGCAAGGACCTGAATGAAATGCAAGTGGCAGGGGGAAAAGTCACCTACTTTCTCCTTCGTCGGCATCGAGGGGGTGCTGCTGGCTGTCTCCCCCGTGGGCAGTTTTGTTTCTTGTACAGGAGGCTTCACGGAGGTGTCACAGGATGGGGAAGCGTCTCTGGGCGCCGGGGCAGCAACCAGGGTAGTTGTATCCATCCAACTGTCTGTCGGGGAGAAAACAAAATGTATTGTGTTAATTGTGAGACCTAAAAGGTGAGTTTTGCTCTTCCTCAAGGACGCTGCAACAGGATACTCCCAGAGCTGAGGAGGTCGCACGGGAAGCAGGACCCAGC